GATATTAATGATATTGTTCTATAATTTCTACATTCTGTGGGATCACCTTTCTTTGGAATGGGCACAAATATGGATCTCTTCCAGTCAGTTGGCCAGGTATATACATGTCCTTGTTGTGAGCTGTCATTGAGTCAGCCCTTGGCTCATAGCAATCCCATGCACAATGGGATCTGACTGTTGAGATCCATAGGGTGTTTATTAGCTCATTTTCGGAAGTAGAGCACCAGGCCTTTCTCCCTAGTCTGTGTTATTGGGAGCTCTGCTGAAAACTGTTCAGCATCATAGCAACAGACAAGCCTCCATTTATAGACAGGTAGTGGCTACATATGAGATGCATTGGCTAAAAATCAAACCCGAGTCTCCTACATGAAAGAGTCTGTGTATTTGATATTGTAAATGGATTCTGGCTCTCTCCATCTCATGACTGTCATAGTGTACCAGAAGTATCTTGCAGGTTTGGTTAAGTGGAATTACTAGTCATTAAATGGTTTTAACTAAAGTATTCCTCACAAAAAAAGTAAATAAAGAAATAAATAATTTCAAACAATTCATCTAAAAGACAATACTAGAATTATAAAATTATAATACTATTATAAAAGATAATACTAAAAACGCAAGCATAACTGAGCAACAGGAAAACAGCAGAGATGACATTTCCCTTACACTCAGGACGAGCCATGTTAAAAGTGAAAACAATGGCTAGCTAACCAGATGTAAAAGTCTTCCAAAAATAAGTTAAAATTATCAAGATTTCTTGAAATAACTAATTTACATCCAGTACTATTGATGATGAATCTCATCTTGAGTATATATTTTGCTTTGATATAATTGAACGAAACCATAATAATGAGCAAAACATTTAGAAATGAGGCATATATAAGAATATAAATTGCCAAAATTTTTCTCAGAGATAGTTGAACAATCATGATACCCAATCAGGATTTCATCTAACAATTATAAAAGTTTGGTAACCTCTTGTGACAGTTTCTTAATATAATGACACACATATTTATTTCTTAAGTAAATACAGAATATTGGTGGTACTTGTCCAAATATCAATTATTATTATTACTATTAATGACAGTAAAAAAAAATTGCCATCAAGTCAATTCTGACTCATAGTGACCCTATAGAACAGAGTAGAACTTACCCATAGGGTTTCCAAGGCTATAAATCTTTATGGAAGCACACTGCCTCATCGTTCTCCCTCAGAGCAGCTGGTGGGTTAAAACCTCTGACTTTTTTTTTTTTTTTGGTTAGTAGCCCAATGCTTAACCACAGTGTCACCAGAGTTCCTTAATGCACAATTCAAAATATGTGTACATTGCAACCTTAGAAGTCTATTCAGGGGAAGAAATGGTCCCCTGCATCAATCTGTTTAGGATTCCCTCTCTATAAGAAAATGCCCCCCATTTGCGATTTTTCTCATGACCTAATCAAGGAATACTTCACAGGCTCCTCACAAATTGGATCCAGAGATTCTTTAATGAAGAGCCTTATAGTATCACAAAATCATATGATTTGGGAGGTCATTCTATCCAAATCTGACATCTCATAAATGGGGAAACTGGAGTACAAAGAGTTAAAAATAGTGTGCCCAAAATTACACTGGTGAGTAGGAAAGTCAAATCCAGAGCCAAAGTGTCCTGCATCCCATTCCCATACTCTTTCCACTATGCCGTAAGACCCTGTTACCACTATAATCAGCAATTGATTACAAAGCACTTCCTGATGATTTTACATTTACCTTTAAAATGTGTTGTATCTACTTCAATTTGAGTTATGACGCCAGGATGTCCCAGGCGGAAAACTGCCCATTCACAGCCAGGAACCAGGAGAATGCCATTCTCATCATTCTAGAATTCAGAAGAAAAAGATTAGCTAACTTGGAGTCATTCAAGAAACGAATCTTGAAAATAGGCAGATGAAAACTGCTGATGTGCTGTATTTATACTGTTTTTTACTGTAAACGAATGTTTCCTAAGATTTAATTTGTAAATTACTTTATGGCAAATATTGCCTCTTTGCTATCATTGATGAGTTCCTCCTGCTAATTAATGAGTTTATTGTTGCTCAATAAATTTTTACAAATTTTAAATTTTGGTTGTAGATTCATGTAAAATGTTATACAGGAAAGGTTTTGATCTAATCCAATTCATAGGTTTGGCCTTGCAGAGTAGATAATATCTTGGTCAAATCTAAGCCTCCAAACTGTAGTTTCTGAAGAGAAGAGCTAATTCATTTATATCTGGAAGCATTGGGTAACATGAAATCTAAGCCAAGAAAGGGTTGCTGACAATGTTTTCAGGGGAATTTGTACACTGAAAGGTGTTGTGTTTTGTTCTGTTTTCATTTGGCATCTTCACCTCAAGTTAGTGCTGAGTGGAGTCTGGAGTTCCCTCTTGGTCCCTTCAGTCATAAGTTCACAAAAATGGTCTCATTCAGGGATACATAGATTTTAAACAATATTAAACTGCTGTTTATTCTCCAGATCTACAAACAGGTATGTTTGTAGCTTTTATTTCGTTAATTGTATATCCCCTTATTTCCTTATTAAGGAAACAGAGGACCCTTTGAAAAATATGTTCTTAGTACTTAGCAATCAATAGGTAGCATGTTTGGTCTTCTGGGATTTTGCCTCAATATTATGAGGCAATGGGAAATTTGGAAAAACTGGAGGGAAGGAATAATCACTTAGAACAATACGTAAGGTTTCTAAAATAAGCAAGAGTTTTCTTGATTTAAAGGAAAAAAAACCTTTAAAAATATGCTTTTTAGGAAAACTTTATAGTTTTTTTTTTCTTTTCTAACTTCTTACTTGTAATATTGGTGGCCTGTCCAATCTCCTTGCAGTTTCCCAACCATCTGCCATAGACTTTGCACTGCCTATTCCTATAGAAGAAAATGAAATCACTTAACTGTGTATCACATGATTTTACTTTAAAGTGTGTGGATTAAATTACAGATTTCATGCACATAAGCATTGCTATATAGATTATTTTAACTAAAGTTAATGTTTTAAATAAAGTCACATACTACTATAAAAATCAAACTCACTGCCGTCGAGTCAGTCCAGACTCAGAGTGACCCCTTCTTGGGTTTCCAAGGCATTATCTCTATAGAAGTAGATTGCTCAATTTTCCTTCTGACATACTACTATAGGTTTTACTTTTAAAAGTTTTAATTTTCATTTTATAGCAACTATTTAAGCTAAAATAGAAAGAAAATAGCTAATGTTAGCTTACTTCAAGTCATAAAGGCATCAAATCATATATATGGAATCAAGTCATATATATGGAAGAGTAATCATCTACTCCCATGCTCTTTACTCTTAAACCATTTCACACTGGGATATTTAATACTGGTACCTCAGACTTCACGAATAAAGTCAACTCTCAGAACATCAACTTACCTATCATATTGTTTGGGTGCCCAAAATGTGCATTACTAAATCCTACACAGACACCCCCATAAGCAATGGCCACTAGATCTAAAGAGTCTTTGGGATCAGTTGCAGTCCAATCTTTTTGTCCAATACCATATACTCTAAGACGTGCAATTCCACCATCTGAAAAGGAAAAGTATCTTAGTCATTTTGCGTTTGGAAAAGTAATTGTTTATATATCTTAGACTATAAGGTCCACATGATCTGGCCTTTGTTCACTTCTCCAGTCGCATCTCCTGCTAGGCTTCACCCACACCTGACTCATTTTTAACATACCAAGCCCAAATGCCTCAGGACCTCTGTACTCACCAGTCCCTTGTACTATAACAAGTTTCCCTAGCTCTCTGAAGACTGATTAGTACTCTACTTGCTCTTAAATCTTGAGTGTCACGGCTTCAGACAGGCTTCTCTCTCACTTTTTAAAATTACCTCTTACCCACTCAACTCCAGCTCCTGCCTTTCTCCACAGGTTAAATTCTATCTCATTCCCTTGCTTATTTACTCCATAGCTTTTATCACAGTCTGAAATTATCTTGTTGGTTCATTTGTTTGAATCCCTGCTGATATCAGTCTTCCATAACCAGAATATAAAATCCTTGAAGTCCAGAACAGTTCACTATTGTGTTCACTTCTTTATCACTATACCTAAAATAGATCCTGGCACATAGTTGATGCTTAATTATTTTTTATTGAATGAATAACTCCAGGTAAGTCAAAAATCAGTTGGGAAATTCACCACAGATATAATGTTAGGTGCCAGAAATGAGCATTGCTAGATCCCATGTAGAGTCATACAAAAGCCTTATATTTTTATTTTTGTAACAACACACTGCTTCTCTTGCAATTGAGAATAAAAAAGATAATATTCACAAAATCAAATAGCTGTTGGGCACCCCAGCAGCCTGAGATTAAGTTTGCAGAGCAGCAAATTGCTACTGAGAACAATATACATTATCTGATTCCACCAACTAAAGTGAAAGTTTTTAATTTGTCTCAATATTTCTTCTTGCAAGGTAGAAGCCAAACATTTTTTATATAGAAGTTGAATAAAATACCAAAGTCATTAAATCAGTGTATTCTACTGAAACTAAGTACTATATATTTTTATATGAAAAAAATTGGTGAAACTGAGTAATCTGAAAAAATGTCTGTGGTACAGTGGAAGTTCCACTATTAACAACAAATAAATCTACACTACATTGACATAAAACCCTAGAAAATATACTAGAGGGAGAAATTCAGCAGAAGCTGGACCATAAGAGTAATATCACCATTCTGATTCATTGAATATTGTCATTTGCTTTATTGGTATAGAAGATATTTATCTGTTAAATGTAAAGTTGCTTTTACATTTAAATATATATATATATATATATGCACTTCTCCTTTACAGAGTTAATAGCCTGCCTCACTTTTAAACAAAATTATGAAGCAATCTCAGATATATGTCTCAACGCTCTGAAGCAACCCATTTAAAGCAACCCTGTGAGATAAAGGAGTCAGAAATGGCCTCTGTGTATTGGCCCCAAGTTGTGTACATCTTTATAGCAAACTGAGACCTGTTAGCCCAAAAAGCAAACCAAAAAAAGCTCACTGCCATTGAGTTGATTCGACTCATAGTGACCCCTCCTTGGATTTCCGAGGCAGTGTCTCTATGGAAATAGATTGCCCAACTGTCCTTCTGAGGAGTGGCTGGTGGGTTTGAACCACCAGCCTTCTGATTAGCAGTCAAATGCCTTAGGCACTACACTGCCAGATCTCCCAAAAAGCCAACTAGCAGCGCTCAAATTTATGTATATCCAGTTGTTTTTAAAAACAACCCAAATAAGCAGATTTTTAGCCACTTCGACCCTCCTGTTATATATCCTATGAAACTGTACCCAATATCCCTGTTGCTGTTACGTGCTGTTGAGTCAGACCCGATTCATAGCAACCCCTCCTTGGGTTTCCAAGGCAGTATCACTAGGGAAGTAGATTGCCCAACAAATTTCTATAGTTATAAGGACCCTTAGTTGCCTTTCTGATGTAGACTCTCCACCTTGCTGCAGGAGATTATCACCCAGATGCAGGCAAACATCCCCTCTCTTCTCCTCTTCCCTGTTGTTTCTCCATGTCCACTTTCCCCTTGTAGTGAATCCCTGCACTGATTGCCTCTGGCAGACCTCTTGCTTTGGGGGATGGAGGGGATGGGGCGGGGGAGGGAAGACTTTCCACTACATGCAGCTGTCAATGTGTCATTCTCAATAAATAGTTGTACAAAACTACTATCTCACAGTCATAACTTTTGCCTCTGTAAGCCCCAAATTCCCTCAAGCACACAATAAACTTTATCCTTAGCTTCAGAGATTTTGCCAGGGTAAGAAGCAGGGCATAACTGACTTCATTTAGAATAAAGTATGGAGAAGTTCATGTCTAAAGGCACTCTCAAAAATAATGGAGATTATGGAAACCAAAAAAAAAAAAATAGAGGATATTTGTAAATGCATTAGAGATATAAACTAAACTGCAAAGCACTAGTTTATCTGAGAGAACCAAGGAAGTAGGCAGCTAAGAAGAGCCCTGGTGCGGTCAGAACAAATCTCAAACACTGACCTCAAAAACAAATGAAATCCACCTATATAAAATCAAAACCCACTGCCTTTGAGTCAATTTCGACTCATAGCGACCCCTATTGGATTTCCAAGGTTGTAAATCTTTACGGAAGTAGATTGCCACATCTGTCTCCTGTGGAGCAGTTGGTGGGTTTGAACCACTGAACTTCTAGTTAGCAGCCAAATGCCTTATCCACTATGCCACTAGAGCTCCTAAACTATATGAATATTAACATTAAATTGATTAGACAATCCAGTAAAAAAGGATTGCAGATTTAAACAACAAAACTAAGATCCAACTGCATGCTGTCTACAGGATATACTAAAGATTCAAAAATAATAATAATAATAAATTAAAAGTAATAGGATGAAAAAATTGTACAATGCAAATGAACCAAACCAAACTCATTGCCATGGAGTCGGATCCAACTCATAGCGACCCCTCCTTGGGTTTCCGAGGCAGTATCTCTATGGAAGTAGATTGCCCAATCTTCCTTCCAAGGAGTGGCTAGTGGGTTTGAACCACCAGCCTTCTGGTTAGCACTCAAGTGCCTTAGGCACTATGCCACCAGAGCACCCATAAGGCAAATAGAAACCACAAAAAAAAAGCTGGAATGGCCATACTGATATCAGACAAAGTAGGCTTTACATTTTAAAAAACATGTTGCTAGAGATAAAAAGGGGCATTTTATAATGACAAAGGGCCAATCTATCAGGAAGATATAATTATAAAGTTGTATACACCTAATAACCAAAGTAACCAAACCAAACTCACTGCCGACAAGTCAATTTGACTCATAGCAGACCACAAAAATAAATGAGGCAAAAACTGATAGAAATGAGTGATATATAGACAACTGAAAAATAATAGTTGGAAACTATTCCCACTTTCAATAATGACTAGAAACAGGCAGACTATCAACAAGGAAATAAACTACTTGAAGAAAACTGTCAATACACTAGACCTAGTTGGTTTATAGATTATTCTATACAACAACAGCAGAATATGCTTCTCAAATACTCATGAAATGTTCTCCATGAGAGACCGTATACCCGGCCACGAAACAAACTTCAACAAAATTTAAAGATAAAAATCATGCAAAGTATGTTCGCCCATGAAAATGGAATTAAATAAATCAATAACAATAGAATTTGGGAACATTAAACAACACACTTCTAAATAACCAATGAGTCAAAGAAGAAATCAAAAGGGAAATTGAAGAATACTTTGCAATGAATGTAAATAAAGACAGATCATATGAAAACTTATGAAATGCAACTTAAACAGCTCTTAGAGGGAACCTTATAACTATAAATGCTTATGTTAAAAAAAGACCCTTTCACCTTACGACACTAGAAAAAGAAAAGCAAACTAATCCAAAAGCAAGCAGAAAGATGGTAATAATAAACATTAGAGTGGAAATTAATAAAATACAAAAACAATAGGGAAACCAAAAGCTGTTTTTTTTTTAAAAAAAGAAAAAGAGAGAGAGAGAGAAAAGAGACTCAAATCAGATAGGAAAGAAGGGACATTCCTACCAAACTTACATAAATAAACAGGATTATAAAGGAGCACTATAAACAGTTGTATGTCAATAAATTATACAAATAAATGAGATGGATAAATTCCTAGAAGACATCTGAATATACCTATATGAAGTAAAGAGATTGAATTAGTAGTAATCAAAAAAAAAAAAAAAAACTGTTCACAAAGAAAATTTCAGCCTGAAATGGATTCACTGGTGAATTCTACCAAATATTTAAATAATTAATGCCAATTTTACACATATTCTTTCAAAAAATAAGAGTAAAGAACAATTTTCAACTCATTCCTTGAAGCATTACCCTAATTCCAAAGTCAGATCAAGACAGCACAAGAAAAGAAAACTACAGACCACTATCTCTTATGAATATGGGCATGAACATCCTCAACAAAACACTAGCAAAGCAAACCCAGCAACGCATAAAAAGAATTATACACTATGACCAAGTTGAATTTAAACCAAGAATTTATGCAATGTTGCTCTAATTCTGAAAAATCAATTAATGTAATATAAATATTAATAAAATTTATAAACCACAGGTTTATCTCAATAGGTGGAGAAATAATCATTTCATAAAATCTAACTCCCATTCATGATACATAAAAAAAAAAGAAAAGAAAATTCACCAGACTAGGAATAAAAGGAAACTTCTCATTCTGGTAAAGGGAATCTACAAAACACTCACAGTTGATACCATACTTACAGTAAAAAACTGAGTGCTTTTCCCTAAGGTCAGGGACAAGACAAGGAGGTCAGTTCTCACCATTTATATTCAACACAATAGTGGAAGTTTTCACCAGGGCAAGTTGGCAAGAAAAAATAAATAAGAGATATCCAGATTGGGAAGGAAAAGTTAAAACTGTATATATTCACAAATTATATGATCTTGTATATAGAAAATCTTAAGGAATCTACAAAGAAATTATTAGAACTAATAAACAAGTTCAACTAGGTTACAAAATACAAGATAATTATAGAAAGTCGACTG